ACCCACATAATCTGAGTACTTATTGAGCACGACGTGTTCCAATAGTTCTGCACCGGGTAATGTACCAATTTATGTATGATGTAGCCCAAATATCAATTAGACCGGTGCATGAGAATAGTCTTTTCTGACCGTCTACAAGCCAGTACCATTTTTGGGCTTTGTTTTTTTTCGAGTTCCCAATGCTGGTTTATTGACAAATGATAAGCCAGAACCATATGTCAGGCGCCGTCCAACCGAATCCACCAAGCTGGATGCGCTGCTTATTAAATACTGCTCCGTATTCACGTTTCTCTTGGGTTGGTTGCATATTTTCGTCGCATGCCATTGGAACACAGAGAGGCACAGGATTGGCTGTGGCCAGGCAGTCCAATATGTCTGCGCCCCGATCTGACGCTACTGTAGAATACCCGACCCTAATAGGTAAAAGACCGATACAACAGAACAGGCTTTATTGACCAATCACAAGCCAGAGCCACGCGTCAGGCGCCTTCCATCCGAGTCCTCCACACCGGCCACGCCGCTCATTACATACTGCATCTCATCCATGTCCTTCTCTGGTTGGCTGCCTTCCTTTCCCGCATGCCATTGGATCGCAGAGAGACACGCGATTGGCTGAGGCCAGGTGGTCCAATATGTCTGCACCCTGATCCGACGCCACACCACACCACAGCATCACACTGCACCACATAATACTACCAAACCAAGTTCTGCCTAAACGCTATTGTTTTGGAAAACACGCTATGACTTTTAAGGAGTACACCATTAATTTTGTAAATGTCGATGCGATAAACTAGAATTTATAGTCACTGCAAATATCTGACTTAGAAGAAGTCCTTGTCGCCCTCTTCCATACCATTACATTCCACAGAACTTTCCCAACGGTAGCATTTTCTTTATTTAATTGCTTTAGCTTACCTTCAAAGACGGAGCTGTGAGCTACACATCCTATATTGGTACAGAAGATGTCGACTGTCGAAATGTTGACTTGACTTATGTGAGCTTATTGCTAGCATGCGATTTACCTTACCGTATGCCTTAGTTTTGCCATTGTGTAGCGGACGTTTTTACTCAGGCACGTCATTTTTTCTTACTGACTTTTTTTGTATTCTTTTGCATCAGGAATTGCTACAAGTCACGGGGTCTGTCGCGGCATTTTTCACTGAGAACTTTTATTCATGTTGTTCAAGCAGAACACTTACTTCGCCTAGGAAAATAGCCTAAATATAAACCGCGCCGTTGCATAATGTGTTTGCAACAATTGCTAATTAAGAATGCCATTTTTTGTTATTGTAGGTTCGGGTGGCTTCCAAAGCCGTTCACGAACGCATTGCCGGCCAAGTTGCACTATTCTCGAAAGCTCTTCACGATGAAGCTAAAAATAGTTCTGATAAATCGACAAGAGGATCTATTGCGCTGGCCTTTGTTATAAACCGCAAAGGTAATTGGGTCCTCGGTTCTGAACCATCAGCCTGGGAACGTTGGACCGTCAATATTGAAGTGCAGCCTCCTTCCATCGGTTCGATTTCAAAATGCCTATTTACCTATACCTTACCTACCTTTCCTCGGAAATAACTGCGCTTTAGCACAGTTCGTAAGGATTCCAAATTTAGAATAGACTCTAATGTAGTGGACTTCAATAGAAACCCCGGTCATCAGGTTGAACCAGGGTTTCATCTAGGCCGAACCTCCATTATCAACATAGCCGAGCGAATACTTTCTTCTTGTGATTGCTGTCAGACTCCACTTTCGGGAGTCTACAATATTTATCGCTCTTGCGTTCTGTTACTAATTTAAAAAGTTTCATCTCTATTGCAAAAATACCACTTCCCATGTAATCCAGACTTGGCGGTAGTGCCTAAATCCCAATTGCCTTGCCACGCAAGTCAATTCGAGTACAATTATTTTGGTTATTTTGAAGTTATTTTCCGTGGGAGCACGATTTTACGTTGGAATGCCTGTGTCTATTAACGAGGGGCTATTCTCAGAGGTGTTGTCTTATTGCCTTATGTTACCTTGCAGATAATGGACACCACCGTCAAAGATTATCATCCCAGCTCAAGGGTGAGATGCTGTACGTCCTCGACTGCATCAACACATCTGAAAGCTACCTGCCTGAGCTCGGATGTTCACAGACTGACTGTGACCACGTCATCGACTTTTCCATGCCTGAGGTCTCTCCATACAGATTTGTTCTGTCGTACATCACCGGAAAAAAACAATCCCCTCAAGGCAAAACAGCTGGACTACGACGCCTCTGACAAATATTCGTTTATTACACATCACTTGACAAGGTCTATTGTGCGATCACGCCACTCTGTATTCAATTTATTTCTAATCAAATCGTCGGTCCATATAAAATCAGGAACATTCGTAGAGCGCGCTGCTTGTCTGCCGACATAATTCTCATGTATCTGGTTGGCAGTAAGGAGTCGTTAGTGTATCACAGTGAAGCCGAACGTTAATTATCCAGACCTTCACGTTCGCAATTTCTGCTTGTATTCGCGATAGAAGCGTGTAGTGAGTAGTGTTCAATCCTGATGCATAATCACGTTGAGTTACCTAGGGAAGAATTCCTTGGAAATAGTCAATGCTCGTGTTTGTGGGAAAACGGCAAATTGGAATCGTTAGGCGGGGGGGGTGCTTCGCGTCAACCGCGAAAAACAGTCAATAAGCCTAAGACGGCGGCGCTCTACGCCACGTTGGGGCTGTACACTAGCACGACAGCGTCGGACCACCGGCTGAGTAAGCCTCCACTGCTGGTGGGGCGCGAAATTCGACGCCAGACTGGCCCATCCGAATTAGCTCTGGACTGTTTTGTGGAGGCGCGGTCGGCTTGCTCCAACCCGTCCCAATATACTCTGGGCACCGCGCCGAGATTGTGACTTGACACTCCGCGAAGGAGATAAGAGCTCAATTTCTCAAATAATGGCTACACCTTTCAAAGTACGTCCCCAGGATTTCAGAGGCAGTTGTGATAAGATAACCAGCGTATTACCACGCCAAAATAGCACTTCATCTGACATGTTCCGATTTTAACAGCATTCTTACCGGATTATCATATGGCATCTTTTCCCGCTTATAGGTCTTTGTGTGAAGGTGTTGAAACTTTGGAGTGACGATTGTCGGTTTTCGCTCGGATTGAACCTGAAAGGAAATTACAGTAGTACAAATTATCAAAATAACGTTAAGATACATAAGGCCTATACTCACAACTAAATTTGCGGCACGTAATCTAAGTCCGAACTCATCGTCTTCTCGACCCCAGCCCCAAAACCGATTTGAAAATCCGTTGACTAGTCGGTAAGATTCCCGCGAAATTATCATCGCACCACCTATATATTTGGTGTATGTGTGGTACAGCGGATGCATCCAGTAGGGTATGAGGTGATAGGGGAGGCGATCAATGTGCTCGTATTTAATATCGACATCAACTGGAAGGAGATCGACATCGTGCAGGGCAATCATTGAACAGGGGGGCTGACGATTTGTCCACCCAGACACTGATGACTCAAAGTAATGGGACTCCATTAATTCTGATTCCTTCACGCCAACATTGAGTAGAAATCCTCGATTGAATCTACAAGTTTAGTGCCTTCCCAGAATAAGAATTTTCGCACTTTACCAGGTTTATCGCATACGTATTGCACTAAAAATACACAATCTTCCGGTGCTAGAGGTTTCAGTTATCTGTTTGAACCACAAAATCCCAAGCCTGTTGTTACAATTAGTACTAGCTGTGAATCAGGTTTAACTTGCTATGTTGAATCACAAAATATATCGAATGCCCTCATTCCCAACACTTTAGGTGTTTTAAAAGTTGGAGTACTTACCTATGTAGTTAAATTTTCGGACGAAAGTAGCAACTTGGTTGTTCAATAAACTTCTATGAAGCTGATTTAAATAGACCCATAAGTATACATTTGAATTAACAGCATTGCCAGTGGATAGAAAACATTTGAAATTATGAAAAACTATGGAAAGTGGTTATCCAAAAGAGGAATTGCGATAAGTAATGCTCAAGTAGTTTCAATTGTGACCACATATGGCGCTTGTATCGCGGTTTTATGGTGTAAGTTTGGAAAACACCAAAAGTAATAACAGAAAGTGAGAAAGTATTCGTTTAGAGGATAATGAACCTACGACAGTTCAATCCAAAAGGCATGTGACCGGTCACCATACAACGCATAGCAAGCTTGAGCCCAATATCCACTTAGTGTTGACACAAAGTGCACAAAGAAACATCGAAGATAAAAGAAAATGGAAGGTCATACCTGTAGTCATCTGCCTGATTCACTATGTAGAAACTGTGTGGAATTCCTTTCCGTTTAAGATAGCCATGCATGTGCGGAAGAAATAGAAGTAAGTTGGTAAAACGCTCTCGGAAGGGTACAATAATTGCGAGACTGTGATTGACACCTGTCTTAGACATCGGTTTAGTATCCGGTTGAATAATTTTCCAGACAGTAATAATCAAAATTGTGAAAGCCAGAAAAGGTAAACCGCACCGCTGGAAAAGATAGGCGAAAATTAATGAATAAATAAACGATTAACTAGAAAAATACTTGAATATAGTCTCGAAACAAGCTAGTTAGAGGCAGCCAACTTTTAATTTTTTTATCTGACCTCAAAGCCTCATAATGCGCGTAATAGATTTTATTTCAGACTAGTTTATTTGTATTTGAACAGAGCTACTTGACTTACCCTAATGAGGCGTATCGAACTCATAGCGAGGCCGTATCTAAAATAAAAGAATTCGTTAGTTTGTAAGAACCCCAAAGGGAATTCTAGCACGACCTCGATTTTTCATCCTGACTTTGTTTCGTAAAAGTATACTGACAGACACATGAAACGGAATGGGAGTGTGGAAAAGTCGCATTGAACCTCTGATGCTTTGAGAATCTTGAATGTGTGGTCCGTAACCACTTTTGTCACAAGGCACCGACAATGTGTGTGTGCGTGTGCTATAACCACAACGGATGTGAAGGTGGACATGAATGTATCGAAAATTAATAAAAGGGCCCAAACTGTAGTCATTACCTTCACTTACTCAGCTACCAAGGTAAACCAGAGAGCAGGGAGTACGCATGCAAAAACGCCTTCACAAGAAAAACATGTATTTTTAGTCAAACGATACGAAAACATGAAACAATGTCACATGTACAGGGGTCAGACAGTGTAATTTCACTGCCGTAGTCAAAGCACTGGCTTCATTAGCCACAAACCGTCATTCAGATAGTGCCAGGTCTCCACACCGACATTCTTGTTAATGTCAAGCCTAAAATTGTGAGGAAATATGCATTCGTAAGGGAAAAAAATAACCATAAAAATAAAGAGACGCATTATACATTTCGGTGGCCGACATCGCAGTAATACCAACGGCAACAGCATGCTCTTTTCCCTCTGCCATTATAGCGACAACGGTACCCTTGGGAACATCGCAAAGTTTGGCACCAGGCGAAGTAAGTCCAGGGCACATGATATTGGACCCATTAAGTACATGTTTGATGGCGCCACGGTCTACTTGCAGTTGAGGAAGTAAAAACGGATCTACAACAACAAAACACAATGATTTCTTTTGTGAAGGTAGGTTTCAAAACACCATACAATATCTATAATAGATGACTCCAAAATACTTTAAATAATGATGCGGATTCGTGTGCAAGGAATGGCAAAAATATGAGGCTTAATAAATTGGGCAGGAATACTGTGTCAAAAAAGGTTGCAAACTTGCATTTGTGAAGGAGTTTTAATGTTGGAACAAATGGCCCATCGCGTTGGCGGAAAAATATCACTTCCCCATTGGGATCCGCAAAAAGCTCGATATGATCATGACTGGAAGTAACGTCAGAATTGAGGATTTACCATTTGAGCAGCTTTAGCGGTTCTTTTTTTGGTAAAATCTTATCGAGATACTCCTTTGCAATTTCAAAGTTTTCCGAGACTTTGTTTTTAATAGTTTTTGAAACGGTATTTTTTGCTGTATTTACAGATGAAACGCTCTCTTTTTCATTGAATCTACAACATTAGCTATTACCAAAAGCCATGGACATACTTTTTGAACATTGTAGTGTAGTGTAGCGGGTGTAATGTGGTGTGGTGTGGTGGGGCGTCGGATCTGGGCGCAGACATGTTGGACCACCTGGCCGCAGCCAATCCTGTGTCCCTCTGCGTTCCAATGGCCTACGAGGAAGATAGGCAGCCAACCAGAGAAGGAAACGAATGAGGTGCAGTATATCATGAGTGGCGTGGCCAGCGTAGTGGACGCGGATGGAAGGCGCCTGACGTGAGGCTCTGGCTTGTGATTGGTCAATAAATCCTATTCTGTTGTACCGGTCTTTTACCTATTAGGGCTCGGGTATTCTACATTGGTGGCAGCGGATGCGTTCGAATAACGCGAATCGAACCCCAGCCCTTCATCTCCTATAGATAACAGAGGCCATGACCCTTTAATGCCAGCTGAAGTTGTCATGGCAGTCATCCTATATCTCATACATTGAATCCATGGACATTCCCCGGGATTAGGACTACGGCATCTGAAGAGGCATTGCAAACTCAGCGACGACGAAAAGGGCAGTAGAAGCCAGTTGGACTGCAGGAAGAGAAGGTACTTGTAATGAATGATGCGGCCTTCCTTCTAGTTAACTAGAGCAAAGTGCCTCGTCTACTAGTCGCTTGGGTCACCATCCTGCTAGATGTGGGGTATCGGTGAGCATCGAACTGGATCTTCTGTCAATCATTAAAAGTGCGGGGAGCCAAGCCAGAAGCTGAGGACAGCTTCACTCCTCAGGGGAGGCAGTGTAACGACCCATAAGAACACTAGCATATTGGACTGTAGCTTGGGGGCAGAAGGACGCTATCTTGGCATCCTGCCATTGGTCGAGAGCCAGTGGCGCGCCGTGGGGGTGGCATCACCTGACTTCCGGTTGCGAGGAGCATTTGATTTTCAAATAGAGACCCAAAGCTCGAATAGCCAATTCCCTCACGAGATTGTCTTTTTATTTCTAGAATCGAAGCGGGTGCCGATGGGCGGTCAGGAGCAACCGGGACCAATTATATAAGTAAAGCCCTTGTCAACAGTGACTCTGAACCCGTTACCGGAGAGCCACTCCAATATTTTGTGCTACTAAACCTTTCTATTCGTCTTTACGCCTTTCGATCATGCCCAAGCACACTCCATGACCTCGCTGACCTCAGCCAATCCTCTGTCTCTCTGCGTTCCAATAGCATGCGTGGAAGGTATGCAGCCAACCAGACAGACGTGAATGAGGAGCAGTACATAATGAGCAGCATATCCAGCATGGTAGACTCAAATGGACAGCGCCTTACGTGTGGTTCTAGCTTATGGTTGGTCAATAAAGCTTGTTCTGTTGTATGGGTATTCTTGATACCAGAGCTTGGGTATTCTCCAGAAGTACCCAAAGTCAAGCTGGATTGATCTGCTGTGAATCTTCAATCCGGCCTCTCCATTCTCCCGCTCAATGCCCTCTTTTCTCAGCATGCTTTCAGCCATGGAAACTTCAACTCACACCGGATTGGCCCGAATGTTTATCCTGGACTACCCCATTGCGTAATAACAAACCGCTCCCTATTTTTTGATGCCACGAACCATGGCCAAAGTGTGTACAACGATTTGACTCGACCCCATTAAGCTTTTCACACCAGTGAATGCTACAAGCAAATTCTCCCAAGGGGAAATTCTACCTTTAAGTTAGCCACAATCTTGTACCTCACCGGTTTCATAGTAGACCTCCACTTGTGCCAACAGATAAATGTAGTCCATAAGGGGCCAAAAACCTTTGCTCATAAAGGCAACTTAGAGTATCAGCTCCCATGCATTCCGGGTTCTAATGGCATGCGAGGAAGATATGCAGCCGACTAAAGAAAGACATGAATGAGGATCAGTTTATGACGAGCAGCGTAGCCAGCGTGGTGGACTTGGGTGGACGGCGCCTGACTTGTGGTTCTGGCCTATCATTTGTCAATAAAGCATGTTCTGTTGTGCCAGTCTTTTTCATACTAGGACCTGGAAATTGTACACGGCTCTCCAAAATGTGAATTTTGATTACCTACACTTTTACTTAAATCTATCTCTAAATTAAAGAAAGAGCATTTAAGAATCAAAATCGCACTTGAGAATATTTCAATATTGAAAATCATAAGACAAATCATCTTTTTGAAATTACAAAATACTCAACGACAGTCCAAGTTCGCAGAAATCAAATTAAATTAAGATTTAATATAAAGTAGCATTACACATATAAATAAGTGTGAATTTCAGAGTGGTTCGTAAAAATATTTTTTTTAAAAAGCACTTTATATACACTTAAAACTTCGCAAAATTCAATTGCTAAAACTGCAAACGTCATCATAGTGAAAAGCAATCTCCCGTCCGATGGAATTTAGGGAGATATAGGCCTGTGATGACTGGTCATTTCTTTCAACAAGTTTGCCGACTTCATCCAGGTAAGGTCCACGTACAACTACCACCGATTCGCCCGAACGTTTGGGAACAGTCGTTTGCAGATATTTTTCATGAATATCTACAAAAAGACCATGGTCCTTACACTTAATTAAATGTACCTAATGACGTCGACCAACACGTGGTAACGGGCTAATAAAGCCGAGCAGAAGCAAGCATGATTCGAAGGTGGTGCAAAAGCACCCTCCATGAGTCTCGGTTCGGGTCACCTAACAGATGCCATTTTAGGCTCAAAGTCATGCTCGAACCACACATTAAAGTAAGCACTTTAGCTAGACTAAAATATTATGAACTAGGTTCCACAAACATATTTTAGAAAAAAAAAACCTGGAAGAGTACATGAAGGGTGGGCCATATGATTCGAGAGCGACAAATGAAAATGAGAACTTACAATTTGAACAGACAACTTGGCTAGCGAAATTTGGAGGTTAAGTTACGAAGACAGTGGTCATAAAGGTAGAAATCCCTATCACAATATAGATTTAATGGTCGTCAATTTTAGAGAAATCAAAACCAGACGTTGAAAGAAATGAGTACCAATAAGTTGGTCTGTACTACTAATAGCAGCAGTATATCCGCTATGAAATAAGCAGAGGAGAGGGCTACTTTAGCCATTTGACTGCATAACTTCTGCTTATCTGCAACACTACGTACCTTTCAGCGTTCGTCCGCTTTCTGTCACACATGAACATCGGTGAGAATGAGAGGCTGATGAGGAAACTGATAGAATTTTGACCTAAACAATAAAGGAAAATAAAAACGATAAGCACATTCAAATTTAAAAACCAAGGCATAGCAGAACTTTCTTTCACACGATTGCAATTATCGCTGCATGTTTGTTAAAAGTCAGTTAATGATGGAAAGTTATAATAGTCTATTGAAAAAAACCGAGAAGTCGCAATTGTATTCTTGGGAGGTCATTCCACTCCAACGAAGGGAAATTCACGATGCATTGAAAAGTTGGAACATCAGATGTTACAGTCGCCAAAAAAGCACGAGCAACTCAAATTAAATTTATCCCCTCAATAGCCGTCCAAAATTGAATGTGGGGGAAGTAAATAGGGCTACCTGAGACATTCTCCAAAAAGCTATGCAATATTTAATCAAAATTAGCTGTGAAATTGATCTAAAGTAAAATTTTGGGCACTCGATCTATATAACTTGCCTTGTGCAGGTAGTATTTGCTCTCCTTGTCAAGATATCGTACGATAAGACCTTTTTGGAGCCACGTTGACTCGCCGCTACCAAACCGAAAATAAAAATCTAGTTACATACCACAAATAATAGGCCCTGGAGCAATAGTACCTTTACGCATACCATGAATGTGACGATCTCTTTGCTGGATCCTCAACCCTTCGTCGCTTTTCGACGCAAAAAGGTGCTTCATCGGCTTCGGTTTGGCCACTTTTGCTATCTGCACGCCTGCGGATCACCGTCCCCTCTCCATCCTTATATTTCTTAACCTCTGCGCTGTCTACAAGAATGATATTGTGCTTAAAATTGATAGTTTGTCCTTACAGCCACCACTGACAAAGGAAGAAAAACGACACCACAAGGGGATATGTGCGCGTTAGGAGTGTACATTTAATTACCTGCCCAGTAGCCGGAGATCAAACATGTGTTTATACAAAAATATGAATTTATTGCAAAAAGGACCTCAAGGTGCTAATGATCTAGCATAACAGATTTGGTGTGACGATGAGCACTGGGGACAAAGTAAATCAGAAAATTAAATCTCCTCTATTTGACACAGTTTGGTGTAAACAACACAAAGCCATGTGCTTTATCATTCGAGGACGTTTACAATTCAACAGACAATTCAATGGATACGCCTGCATCAATACCGCACTAGGTGATCTACACGGTAATATTTAGCTAATTTAGCTACTATATGGAACTACAAATATAAGTACGCCCGACATTCCAAACGACGTTTGGTGTATTTGGGGGTGAATGGTAACGCAATTCTACCAGTATTTCAAACAGTAAAACGCTGTTCAAAACTAAAAAGTGTGCATGTGCTACTATTTTTATAAGATTTCCCTATTAGGAAATTCCAACGTTACAACAAATTAATATACTTCATGTTACACCGTGATATACCTACTGAGTGAATAATGGGTTCAGTAAGCAGATAGAAATGCTTTGAAGTTAAAAGGTATAGAGAACATACATATTATTAAACAACATTGAGCTCCTACCTGATGAAAACTGATACGGAAAGCTAAATTTTCGGAACTTACTAAGATACATTGCAAACTTATTGTACTCCGCAGAAGACACAAGTCTCAGAGTTGCTTGCATCACTTTCAATACCTGCTTGGTAGATGCAAGTTGAACAATTACGCGCCCTGTATCACCATCCAGGCCCTTAATCTTCAAGAAATTGCATAAAATAAAGGTAACCCAAATACGTACACTCCACATCAGTAGGCAATCGGGCAACTTACTACGCCGTATTGACCTTCATTGCGCCCATAAACTACTTGGCAACTAGTCCCTTCCTTCCAGGTTAATTTCTCATTGTTTTCAGCAAACCGATTTTTTTCAGCTTCTTTATACTTCTGAAGCGCTCTGGGATCAGCTCCGAGACCAAGGCCCTTGAGGCGAACTTTTGCTGCGTAATCACTAAAATGGATAATGAGCACTACATCTTGACTAACTTACGCAGTGGGTTGTGATATTACTTGCTCTTCTTTTAGTCCCATTCCTTTCAACAAAGCCAGACCAAAACTTTCAATGGGAATTTGGTCATAATCAGCGTCAACAGGATCGTCAGCGCTAACTGATGACCCCTTTGAAGGAAGTTCAACCACAACGCTTGAGTTCGCAAATTGTGAAGATGCGTCAATTTCAACGGACTCGTCTAAAGCAAATAAATGAACGACAGTCTTGCCTGAAGAAAGAGCCCTCAGTGCTTCAGCAGTCAATTCATCCACAGATTCTCCCTTGAGATACTTCTTTTTTAACTGTTCACGTATATTGAACCGAGAAATCGTTAATGGAATAATCGGTTCATCCTTCTTCAAAGTTGAGACACTAAAAGTAGAAATCGGGATAGAGCAGGAGTTTTGGACAGTGAAAACAGTGAACGAGTAAAATGCTTTATGAATGCACGAGACAACTCCCACAAATACCTGCACATCAATCAAGGAATTTCATAAACCCGAGCAACTAAAAATACGACTTAATTTCACAGACGGATACAGGGGATATGATAGCAACAATACGGTCAGAAATTGGTAGCGGTATTTCCGGTCAACAACTTAACACTAAAGTGTCGCTAAGATTTTACCAAACTGACCAGCGACCCCGAAGAACGCTAACCACACTCGCCTACATTCTTACCTTACCGAAGTTAAGTCGAGAATTTGTCTCTTTAACTACTTAACGTAAGCGAACCTTTTCGGTGCAAAATCTTCGAAAGACGACAGAAATTCCACTGCCTGTTCCTCCTTTTCTGTTTTTTCTAGCAATATCGAGGCACCAACTAGCTTCGACGACTGCTTTGATTTTGAAAACCCAAAAGAGAACTTCTTGCCAGATTCGCTCATTTCAAAGGAGTGGCGGTCTATGTCGCAGACATGACGTGCTGTGTGGTGTGGTGTGGCGTCGGATTAGGGCGCAGACATATTAGACCACCTGGCCTCAGCCAATCCTGTGTCTCTCTGCAATCCAA